AGTGTGTTGGGCAATCAGCAGTGCCATACAGCACATCAGTGGTGCTGGTGTGGTGTGCCAGGAGAGTCACTCACACGAGGCAGGCCTGTCAGATGACCAGTGCCTACATCCACTGCGACGGGGCCCTCTTTGGCCTCATGCTGCCGTTCGTCAAGAAGGTACGCCGTGCTGAGTATGCTGTCGGTAGTGCCATGCTGCACACCAGTGTGCTAGTACCAGGAGAGTCACTGCACGAGACAGGTCTGTCGGACGATCAGTGCTACATCCACTGTGACGGGGCTCTCTTTGGCCTCATGCTGCCGTTCGTCAAGAAGGTACGCCGTGCTGAGTATGCTGTCGGTAGTGCCATGCAGCACACCAGTGTGCTGGTACCAGGAGAGTCACTGCACGAGGCAGGTCTGTCGGACGATCAGTGCTACATCCACTGTGACGGGGCTCTCTTTGGCCTCATGCTGCCGTTCGTCAAGAAGGTACGCCGTGCTGAGTATGCTGTCGGTAGTGCCATGCAGCACACCAGTGTGCTGGTACCAGGAGAGTCACTGCACGAGGCAGGTCTGTCGGACGATCAGTGCTACATCCACTGTGACGGGGCTCTCTTTGGCCTCATGCTGCCGTTCGTCAAGAAGGTACGCCGTGCTGAGTATGCTGTCGGTAGTGCCATGCAGCACACCAGTGTGCTGGTACCAGGAGAGTCACTGCACGAGGCAGGTCTGTCGGACGATCAGTGCTACATCCACTGTGACGGGGCTCTCTTTGGCCTCATGCTGCCCTTCGTCAAGAAGGTATGCCTTAGCAACAAATGCCTTTTCACCTTGTTTGCCTTGCACCACATGCTACTTCAACATTTGAGGCGCCTCAAAAGCCTTTTCACCTTGTTTGCCTTGCACCACATGCTACTTCAACATTTGAGGCGCCTCAAATGCCTTTTCACCTTGTTTGCCTTGCACCACATGCTACTTCAACATTTGAGGCGCCTCAAATGCCTTTTCACCTTGTTTGCCTTGCACCACATGCTACTTCAACATTTGAGGCGCCTCAAAAGCCTTTTCACCTTGTTTGCCTTGCACCACATGCTACTTCAACATTTGAGGCGCCTCAAATGCCTTTTCACCTTGTTTGCCTTGCACCACATGCTACTTCAACATTTGAGGCGCCTCAAATGCCTTTTCACCTTGTTTGCCTTGCACCACATGCTACTTCAACATTTGAGGCGCCTCAAATGCCTTTTCACCTTGTTTGCCTTGCACCACATGCTACTTCAACATTTGAGGCGCCTCAAATGCCTTTTCACCTTGTTTGCCTTGCACCACATGCTACTTCAACATTTGAGGCGCCTCAAATGCCTTTTCACCTTGTTTGCCTTGCACCACATGCTACTTCAACAGCACCTAACCCTCATCCCTGGTCGTCACCCCCACAGACCCCCTGAGTGACCTTCAAGAAGCCTATCAGCAGTGGATCAGTCTCAGGTCACGAGTTTGTCGGCTGTCCCATGCCCTGTGGGGTCCAACGTGTATGCATCAGTCGCATCACTCCCCTCTATCCTTCCCACCTTCTTGCCCTGCACACCTTTCAAACACCAGGCCCCCCTTGTGACCTTCAAGAAGCCTATAGGAAGCGTGTCAGTGTCCGGTCACAAGTTCATGGGCTGTCCCATGCCCTGTGGGGTGATTTTTTAGTCGACTCAAAAATCCGCGTGTAGTGAGTCGATTTTTGAGTCGACTCAAAAATCCGCGTGTAGTGAGTCGATTTTTGAGTCGACTCAAAAATCGATTCATGGGCTGTCCCATGCCCTGTGGGGTGCAGACTATTCATCAGTCCCTTTATCCTCTCCCGCCTTTAACCTCCCGTATTCACCCCCCTCTCAGGCTCCCCGTGTGACTTTCAAGAAGCCTATAGGCAGCGTGTCAGTCTCGGGTCACAAGTTCGTGGGCTGTCCCATGCCCTGTGGGGTCCAACGTGTATGCATCAGTCGCATCACTCCCCTCTATCCTTCCCACCTTCTTGCCCTGCGCACCTTTCCCTCACCAGGCCCCCCTTGTCACCGTCAAGGAGCCTATAGGAAGCGTGTCAGTGTGCGGTCACAAGTTCATGGGCTGTCCCATGCCCTGTGGGGTGCAGCCTATTCATCAGTCCCTTGATCCTCTCCCGCTTTTAACTCCCGTATTCACCCCCCTCTCAGGCTCCCCGTGTGACTTTCAAGAAGCCTATAGGCAGCGTGTCAGTCTCGGGTCACAAGTTCGTGGGCTGCCCCATGCCCTGTGGGGTGCAATGTGTATGCATCAACCCCATCTCTCCTATCCGCATTCTTCCCTTGTACACCCTTTCACCCCCCAGGCCCCCCGCATGACGTTCAAGAAGCCAATCGGCAGCGTGTCAGTTTCCGGTCACAAGTTCATGGGCTGCCCCATGCCCTGTGGGGTGCAGATCATCCAACAATCCTTTCTATCCTCCCTGGCTTTTTAATCCCAATCCTCCCCCCCCTCCAGGCCCCACGTGTGACGTTCAAGAAGCCAATCGGCAGCGTGTCAGTCTCCGGCCACAAGTTCGTGGGCTGCCCCATGCCTTGTGGGGTGCAGATCATGCGACGCTGCTACCTCTCTGCTCTCTCCTCTGACATCGAATACCTCGCCTCTCGGGACGCTACTATTATGGGCTCGCGCAACGGGCACGCACCCATCTTCCTCTGGTATACCCTCAACAAAAAGGGTTACCGCGGATTCCGGAAAGACGTGCAGCGGTGCCTGCGCAACGCGCTCCACCTGCACGCGCGGCTGCGGGCGGCGGGGTTCGGCGCGATGCTGAACACTCTCAGCAGCACAGTGGTGTTTGAGAGGCCGGAGGAGGAGGGGTTTGTGAGGAGGTGGCAGCTGGCGTGCCAGGGGAAGGTGGCTCATGCGGTGGTGATGCCGAGTGTGTCTCCGGAAAAGATTGATCTGTTTGTGAGGGAGTTTGTGGCGAGTCGGGAGAGGTGCCGTGCTGCCAGGGCTGCTGCTGCTGATTCCGCTTCTAACCCGTCGTCTACTGCTGCTGCTGTTGCTCCCTCCGCTGCTGGTGATGCTGGTGCGGCAGCTGCTGCTGGCGGTTCTGCTGCTGGTCCTGCTGCTGGTGCTGCCAACGGTTCAGCTGCTACCACTGCAGACGCCTTAACAAGCGATGTGTGCGTAGCAGACGTGATTGGTCCAGAGAACTGCTCCTGTGCCGCCCACGTGGCCATCTGGCGCACTCGTGTGGAACAGGATGCTGCTAACATGAGACGGTACAGCTGCTACAGTGACACATCAGGGGACGACTCGTCCTTGCACGGCGGTAACACCATGCAGAGGCTGCTGCAGTGAATGTGCATTGGAACGAAAACGCAGGGAGAAGGCAGGGTTACTTGTGAGGATTAGAGAGGAAAGGAAAGGAGATGAGGCTTCCTTGTGCGGTCGGTCGCATATTTTTGAGTCGACTAAAAAATAGGTCGCAGGGCAGCGAAGAAGTAACACCCTGAAGAGGTTCATAGTGAATCTCTGCATTGATAGTATGGCTGGTCCTTGGATTTCAACCCACTGATGGCTTTGACTCCCATATGTTCTGGGTGGTACCGTAAACCCCCGTATATAAGACCCTAGGGTATTATGATAATCTGGCCTTAAAAAGTTGGGGGGTATAATTAAATGGTACATATTTTATAAGACCAGGGTCTTTTCAAATTGACTTCTATAAGTCTACTGTTTTGGAGCTCAAAGAAGTGAATTGGAATTGCTCCGTTTTTAGCACCTCCCAAATATACTCGAACTGGTCTCTTCCTGGGCCAAACCCACATCATCACGTACCCTATCTAAAAGCCTCCTCCCATTGGGCACAAACATCACTTGGTGTTGACATAAGCGAGAAGGGCACCGTTTGATGGGCCCGGCGCGCAGTGTCACCTCGACCTGCACACCCCATGCACGCTTCGTGCGATCCTATAGGGCGGGAGCTTCAGACTCCCGTACTGTCGTCTGGCACGTCCTTGTTTTTTAGGGCTGACTTCACTTCCTCCTCCAGTTTCTTCCCCCCTTACTGTGCTCGGCTGCCATCTAAAAGATGGTTGCCTGTTCCTTTTTCACCTCGAAGCTAGCAGCCACTTCATCCCCACTTTAGCCGCCATGGTGACATCACCAGATGCTGGGACGTCCGATGCGCCGCAAGAAAGTCCAGAAGCCTCCTGTTCTTAGGCCTTCGCCCAGGCCCGTCATGCCAACGCCAAGTTCCTCTAGCAGCGATGAGACAGATAAGGAGCCCAGCGGGAGCCCACGCCGTCCGCTTCCGCAGGTGAAGGTTCCCGTATTTGGAGAGGATTAGGCTGATAATTGGCCTGTGCATGCGCGTTCATGTGTGTGATTGTCTGTACCTGAACATGGAATAGGACCATTTTCCATTGCATTCGCTGAAAATACACACTTCTCTAGGATGTGGGGGGTCTTATAATGTCAGGAGCCATTTAGGGGGGTATAACTCGGATAGACTCGAATAGAGTACCCCCCTCCGTATTATAGACCCGGGGGTCTACAACTGGAGGGGGTCCTATATACGGGGGTTTACGGTATGTATGTACGGTATCTGTGTCTCCCTAAGGAGTCCCCTCCCATGGGTTTCCGAAACGGTACTTGTAAATCAGCGAACGTTATTCATAAATCTGGTGGCTGTTATAATATTTGTAAGGGATATGAATTGGCTGTTATGCAAAACACATTACAGCAGTCTCAAGTGTGTGTCATTCGCAATGCATACACATTTCAGTCGCAGTAATTTGAGTGGATGTTAGTTATTTCATCACATACAGATGTCTTATGAAACGGAGAGGAGTGCCTGTCAATACTTGTTGCAGCTTCGTTGCTCCAATCCCTGTCCATTTTATTCCCTAGGTACACGTAACACAACGTGATGACAGAGGTAGTGTAGCTAGGGAAGCTGTGATGGTGCTGGTAGGCACTGCCATATCATCAGCACCATCTTCACCATCATCACCATCATCACAGCTTCGCGAGTGGCTGAGCCCCAACCTCCATCTCCCCAGCTTCCTCCCATGCCTCTCCACTGCTCTCCCCCTCCCCATCTCCTTCCTCTCCCCCATCCTCCCCAACATACCCCAGCCCTCCCTCCTCTCCCCCATCCGCAACAGTACCTAAAAAATCTCCTTCCTCCCCATCCCCCAAACCTCTCATCTGCGCCTCTCTGAAGCTGGGAGGTGCTTCTAGGAGCCTCAGCTTGTCCCTTGCAGGGTCCGCCTCTGCTATAATCACATCCACTGAGTCACCCACCCGCACATCCCGCTGCATCTTCATAACTGTTTCCATCCCCACCTGTGGGAAGAAATGCGGGAAAATGTAACAGAGAGAGGTGAAGAAAACACAGAGGGGAGAGGAGGGGGTCAGCATCTGCTATAATCACATCCACTGAGTCACCCACCCGCACGTCCTGCTGCATCTTCATAACTGTTTCCATCCCCACCTATGGGTGGGAAGAAGCAGCAGGGGATGACAACACGGGATGCACAAAAACAAAGGAGAGAGAAGCGGGTCAGCATCTTCTAAAATCACATCCACTGAGTCACCCACCTGCATGTCCCGCCAGCATGAGCGTCAGCCCATGACGCTGTCATGAGACTCCCATCAGCCCGGAGCCACTTGAGCGCGACAGCTGTCAGCACTTGAGCCATCAACCGAACTACCTGCGCATCACACCATTCCCCCTCCCCACAGTAGCACTAACTCCCATCCACTCACACCCTTCCCCCGCCCCCACCATCCTCACTTTTTCCACCAACATCAGCGCCAATGGGCTGCCGTCCACCCGAAGCCACCACTTTCTACCTTTGAACTCTCCCCCTTCTCCACCCCCTCTAACCCATCCATACCCCTCCCAACCCCCAAACCCACCTCTTCCACCAGCATCAGCGCCAACGGACTGCCGTCCGCCCGGAGCCACCACTCTCTCCCATTTGTGAATTATTCCACCTTCGAATTCACCTGAAAAGGCATCTAATTTTAACTCCCTCCCCCTCCCTTTCTCACCTCTTCCACCAGCATCAGCGCCAGCGGGCTGCCGTCCGCCCGAAGCCACCACTCTCTCTCTCCCATTTGTAAATGATACCCCCTTCGAATTCACCTGAAAAGAAATCAAAATTTAACCCCCAACCTCACCTCCTCCACCAGCATCAGTGCCAGTGGGCTGCCGTCCGCCCGAAGGCACTTGAGCATGACAGCTAGCTGTCTCCCCTTTCCACCTACCCCATCCCCTATCATACCACCCCATCCCACCCCACTCCACCCCTCCAAAACCCACCTCCTCAACCAGCATCAGCGCCAGAGGGCTACCGTCAGCCCGGAGCCACTTGAGCATGACAGCTGTCAGCACGGTATTGGCCGGCAGCCGCCGCAGGTACTCCTGCAGCCAGTAGCGCTCCACCGCGCCTTCTGCCCGCCGCACCTCGCGCTGCCGGGCGGCGCAGTGCGATACGATCGTGTCGAGATCTGATACAGATAGCGGAGGCGGCTCACCCCGTAAAAGCGCCTTCACCTGAAGAGAATCGGGCAGAGGGGAGGGGGAGAGGGGGTGGAAAGGGGAGGGAGCAAGGGAAAGGGGGGGGGTCGGAACCATGAAGAGCAATCTCTTATAAGAAGCGCAGTGAGAAACACTGGGAGGACTTTTGAGGCGCCTCATAAGAAGCGCAGTCAGAAACGCTGGGAGGTGCGGGGGTGCGCAGCGAGCAATCTCTCAGAATAAGCTATGCCACATACCTGGTAGTGTGCCAGCAGGTCAGAGTATCTTCTGATGGGCGACGAGAACTGCACGTAGCCCTGCAGTCCCAACCCAGCATGCGGAATCGGCCCAGAGCATTTGATCTCACTGCGACTCATAAACGATCTCAAATGTACAGCTCTGCATGGCCCCTCAGGGAGCGCTTGCATATCCTCCTCATCCTCATCTGTCATTCGGTCCGGAGGCCCCTGGCCTCGGTATGGCAGCGGCAGGTCACGTTCGGCGCCGAACCTAGCCACAGCTTCGCCGCAGAGAACCATAGCTTCGGACACGAGCCTCCGGGACGGGTCGGACTGGTCGATCGTGCTGACCGAGATTTCCGGGCAGTGTGACGTGGCGGAAAAGACTTTGATGTCGGATTCAGGTATGGCGATATTTGCCGCCCCGTTTTGCATGCGGTAACGTAACCGGCCGGCGGCAACGTCTGATAGGAGGAGGAGCTCTGGTTCGTGTTCTCCCGCCATTGCAAGCATTTCGGGCAGCTGGTCGTAGGCTAGGCGGTAAGTCGGGCAGATGAAGGAATTCATGATGTCCACGTCATCGATGCTGAGGGCCAGAAAAAAAAGGGGGAAGGGGGAGGTGGGGGAGGGAGGGATGGGGAGGAGAACAACGGAAAGAGAATGATACGGAAAATGCATGAATTTGTGAGAACACACATCTCGTTAGAAATGACAGAACCGAGACATTTCAAAGCTCGTTAATTCACTTGATCCATCCCTCAACCACCAAACACATACCTGAAATCGGGATTCAGTGTGACTACTACAGTGACCGCACAGACGACAGCGGAAGCAGAGTCCCCAGTAGCAGCACCAACATCAGCACCAGCAGCAGGAGGAGGACGAGTAGGAGGAAGAGAGAGGCTCATGGGACCAGCAGCAAGAGAAAACGGGATCATAGGCACAGCTCCTGTGGCAAAATACGCGGACGTGGCTCGTTTCCGAGCCTCCGTGTCGAGCCTGTCGCCGAGCCTCATCCAACGGCTCGGATCAGCCACGTGTATCCAGACCTTGATCCGGCCGTCCGGCAGGGTTTCTGCACTCAACCCATCGTCCACTTCTACTGTATCGTATGAATCGATGGTGTATACTTTGAGATGCGTCAGATCGACACGTATGCTCTGAAGGGGGGAATAAGGGAAAATGGGTGGGGGGGTGAAATGAGATTGGTGAGCATCAACCCATCGTCCACTTCTACTGTATCGTATGAGTCAAAGGTGTATACTTTGAGATGTGTCAGATCAATGCGAATGCTCTGAAGGGGGAATGGGAAGAGAAGGGGAAGAGGGGGAGGGAGGGAATGGAATGAGATTGGTGCAAGGAGCATCAACCCATCGTTCACTTCTACTGTATCGTATGAATCAATGGTGTATACTTTGAGATGCGTCAGATCGACGCGTATGCTCTGCAGGGAGAGACGGGTGAGGGGGGAAGGGAGGAGAGGGAGAACCATTGTAAAAAACTCAGCCCATCGTCCACTTCTACTGTATCGTATGAGTCGATGATGTACAAGGAAAAGCCACAGGAGTAGAAAAATAGTTTTGAGACGTCTCAAAACTGGCAACTCAACCCATCGTTCACAGTCTTCTACTTTATCGTATGAGTCGATGGTGTACAAGGAAAAGCCACAGGAGTAGAAGAACATATCTACCTGCTCAGGGTCTGGCGGGGGGGTTTGCTGCGAGACTGGCATAGTAGCACTGAAAAAAGGCGAGAGCAGCAGAAGAACATATCTACCTGATCAGGGTCTGGCGGGGGGTTTGCTGCGAGACTGGCAGAGTAATCGGCGACACTTGCTGAAAAGCTTCCGGGCATGGCAGAGGCAGCGAGGCGGAAGGAGTGGGAGTGGAGGGGAAGGGCGCCCGCGCGGACGAGCAGGTCACATGCTGCTTCTGGTGTTCTCACACAGCCGAGGAGTTGCAGGGACTGCGCAATTTGAAGGCAGAAAAGGGCAATGATGGGGGGAATGGGCAGAGCGGCGGAAAAGGAAGACATGGTGAAGGAGTGGGAGTGGAGTGGAAGGGCGCCCGCGCGCACGAGCAGGTCACATGCTGCCTCTGGCGTTGTCACACAGCCAAGGAGTTGCAGAGACTGCAAGGCGCACACGTGGGGAGAATGTGGGGGCCACAGGCGGAGAGAATCGGGAAGAGAGATGTGGTGGAGTGGGAGTGGAGTGGAAGGGCGCCCGGACGGACTAGCAGATCACATGCTGCTTCTGGCGTTCTCACACAGCCGAGGAGTTGCAGAGACTGTGGGAGGGAGCAGAAGGGAGAAGGAGAATGTGGGAGGCAGGGGCAGAGAGGGCCGGAAAGAGAGATGAGATGAAGGAGTGGAAGTGGAGTGGAAGGGCGCCAGCACGAACGAGCAGGTCGCAGGCTGCTTTGGAGATAATCACACAGCTGAGGCGTTACAAATACTGCAAACCCCACAAAAAGGGGGGATTCGGGAAGACATGAGCATGGCCATGGGCGTGGGCACAGTGCATGGGGCATGGGCATGGGCAATGGCATGGGCAGGAGCATGGCAGAAGTATGGGCATGGGCATGGGCATGGGCATGGGCATGGGCATGGGCATGGGCATGGGGGCACACCTGAAAACCTCTCCCATCATCTTGCCTTCTCCGCACCCACCTCCTCAGCCAATGCCGAGTTGCCACCTGGCTTCTCCTCTGCATACTCCAACAGTGCCTGCATCCTCGCAGCCAATCTCGGGCCGCCACGTCCCCCCCCAATCCCATGCCCCTGCCGCTCCCCTTCCCCCTCCCCTCCTCCTCCTTCACCCCTCTCTCCTCCCCCTCCTTGCTCCTCTGCCCTCTCTATCCTCTCTATCCTTTCTCTCCAAATCTCCGGTGTTGGCTTTTGCCCCGGCGGCAGTCTCAGTGCTTCTCGAATGCAGGTCATGAACTCCTCCTGCTCCGCTCTCACTGCTGCCTCCGCTGCTGCCTGCTTCCTCAGCTGCTCCACCTGTTGGGATAGGGGAGAGGAGTAAGGAATACATTCGCCTGTAGGAACCAGGTCTCTTGACCTGGGGGGGGCAGTCTCAACCCAGTGCTTTGAGACGTCTCAAATCTCAACCCAGTGCTTTGAGACGTCTCAAATCTCAACCCAGTGCTTTGAGACGTCTCAAATCTCAACCCAGTGCTTTGAGACGTCTCAAATCTCAACCCAGTGCTTCTCGAATGCAGGTCACAAACTCCTCCTGCTCTGCTCTCACTGCCGCCTCCGCTGCTGCCTGCTTCCTTAGCTGCTCCACCTGTTGGTTTGGAGTGGGGTAGGGGAGAGGGAGGAAGAAACCCTCTGTTCTCAGTGCTCCCTCTACTCCCTCCGCTCTCGCTGCTGCCTCGGCTGCTGCCTACTTACTTCCTCAGCTGCTCCACCTGTTGGGATAAGGTTGGAAAGGGGAATTTAACTACACGTAATACATGCACTGGTGGGCTGGGTTTTAACTACAAATCACAGCTGAGCTGGGTTGGCTTGGGCATTAACTAAAAGGACACTTAATACCTGCACGGGCGGGCGCAGCTCAAAGGAGTGGGCGGCACCGCGGACTCTCTTGAAGAAGATGCGGTCGGCAGTCAGCATGCGGTGGGCGGCAAAGTGCGGCACTAGCGGATCCTCAGCCTCCCCAAACGCGATCTGACAGGTAGAGGGTGAGGTGTGAGGTTGAGGGTGAGGGTGAGGTGTGAGGGTGACGGTAAGGATGAGGATGAGGGTGGGGGTGAGGATGAGGGTGAGGATGAGGATGAGGATGACTTTGGGCTGAATGAAGAAACATGCTTATAGCGAGTATGAGGGCAGAGCCAGGTGAATGCGTGGCGGTTACCTCTGCAAATTCCTGTGTTGTGACTGTGGGCTGCTCTGAAAGGAACATCTCCCACACCATCTCCAGGAGTGATTCATCCGCCTGGTGAGTTATGGGTAAGGGTAATACACACAACGAATAAGGCACATGTGTTGGGTGGCTGAGTGAATTTTGAGGCGCATCAAAATGCACAAGTGTTGGGTGGCTGAGTGAGAAACATCTCCCACGCCATCTCGAGAAGTGATGCATCAGCCTGGTGGTTGACGAGTCAGGCAGGGTCGAGGTTTTGGGGTTAAAGGTTTAGGAGGTAGGGCCTAAATTGGAACTTGAAAGGAGCAGCAAAGAGGCACAGACCCCTACAAGGGAAAGATAACGGGAAAACGGTGTGCGACTAGTCTTAGGACGCCTCAAAACCGAAAAATGCGGAGGTATACAATACAAGAAGAGTTCCAAGCCCTCTCAATACATACATACTCACTCGAGCAGTCCAAACCGGGAGTTTTTATAAGTGCTGAAACTTGAGAGGTTTGCACAATAGCTGAGTGTTGAGCCTCTAACCGTTAATGAGTCGACGGAGGAGAGGAAGGAGGAGAGATCAGCGGCATTGAAATCCTCCTCCCCCACTTCCACGAATGTCAGCTGCTGCGGCCTCACAGAAAATGTGTTGCCGTTCTGCAATTGAACGGGAAAGGGAAAGGGAGGGAGAGGAATAGAGGCAGATGGAAAAATGTTTGAGGAGGCTTGAAAAGCGTATCACGAATGTCAGTAGCTGCTGCGGGCGGCCTCACAGAGAAGGTGCTACCGTTCTGCGATTGCGATTGAGTGGCAGAGAGGAAAGAAAGCAGGGGAGGAAACTGCGATCGATTTCTTATTATTCCACTCCAGCCAGCACTACAAACGTATCCACAACAATCCCAGCATTCCAAGCCAAGTTCCATGCCTATAGCGCGTACCTGGTCCATAACGATCCAGTTCTTCTTCCCTTCCGGTCGCATCACCACCCACCCCCACCACGTGTCTCTGCTGTCCCTTTTCAAACTCCACCAGAGCGCCTTTCCTCACCCTCTCACTCAAATACCCTGTTTCTTGAGTCCACTAATATTTGTTTGATGATAATAACGCGTACGTACCTGGTCCATAACGATCCAGTTCTTCTTTCCTTCCGGTCGCATCACCACCCCCACCACGTGTCTCTGCTGCTCCTTTTCAAACTCCACCAGAGCGCCTTTCTTCACCCTCTCACCCAAAGAGCCTGCTCCGCTCTTGCCCGCTCCGCTTTTAGCCGCTGCGCTACCAGCCGCGGCTTGTACAAGCCTATTGATTTGTCTACCACCATTACTGCTTGCTGTTCTGCTGCTACTCCCACTGAAGGCGCTGCTGCTGCCACAGCCACCACCAACACCACCACCACCGCCGCCGCCGCCGCCGCCGCCGCCGCCGCTACCGCCGTTAACACCTTTCCTGCAGAGAGGGCTGCTGCTCGTGAAACCAGCCGCAAAGCATCTGCTGCTGCTGCTGATGCGACCGCTGCTGCTGCTGCTGCTGCTGTTGCTACTGCTGATGCTGCTGCCGTTAAGCAACGTGGACGAATAAGTAGCACTTGGTGACGTGGCACCCGCTACAGGCGTGACCCTTCGACCTACATTTGGTTGAGCTACAGCCGGGTGGGGAACAACTGAACGAGCTACAGCCGGCTGGGAAACTGGGAATACCGTTGCGCTACAGCTCACATCCCGTTGCGCTACAGCCGGTCTGTTCCATGCAATTCGGGAGACCTGGTCAATGCCGACTGTAGCCGTTCTAGCCGCTGGCGCTGTGTTAATGCCTGTAGCCGCTGAAACGGCTGTAGCATTTCTAGCGGCTGTAGCAGCTGTAGCTACTCTAGCATATGACGCTGCTCTCGCGGCTGAGTCCGTACCAGCCGCTGTTGCTGTTCTAACGGCTGTAGCGGAGCGTCTGCGCGCTGAAGCTGCTGTAGATGCCACTGCTGCGGCAGCGAGGCGATACATCGGCCCGCCGCAATCAGCGCCGGGGATTGCGGCAGATCTGCTGGCTCGGACAGCCCTTGTTGGAGATCGGACGGCTCTGGCGTACGATCCGCTCCTCCTGCGGGGAGAAACGGCGCCTGCGGAAACGGAGGCGGAAGCCGCGCTGGCGCAGGCGGAAGCACAAGCGGAAGTGGTTGCGGAAGCGGCTGCGAGGTTGGTCCTACTGCCGGCGAGTAGCGCTTGATGCGGCGCGACGACCGGCCTCATATCGCCGTACCTCCCGAAGCCAACTTATGATTGGATCGCAACTTCTGGCCTAACAACTACGACAATTCCGACGTGACTGCACGGCGTTCGATTGTACTATCAGGTAATCTCTAGGCTACGAAGCAAGGCCGTCAGAACCGTAACGCGTGGAACTACCTCTCTGAGCAATGTGTGGAACTACCTCCCTTAGCCTTATGTAATAAAAGAGGAAATCAGGAACTCTGATTCGTGGGAACTACTGTGTCTGGTAGGGCAATAACAAATCCTTGTGAGAGAGTGAGCAAGGTGCATGAAACAGCTAACAGGGAAAGTTTCACGCATAAGTCTGAGCACGGCTCGGTGAGCTTCATCGCGATTTGAAACGTTTTCATAAGCAATGTGAGGGGTTGAGTATGGTGGAGGAAAAACCAGATTCCCAGAAAGGAACCGCCTAGCTGATGGTTTGGGATTAGCCAGGCGTTCGGATTGCCTTGTTCCACGCGGCGCTCTCTGAACAGTCGCGTCGCTGCTGATGTGTAAGGCGCTGATAAGAGTAGGAACCCCGTGGAGAGCAATTCAGCAGCAACATCCGAGGTTGGTAAGTGGGTGATAAGTAGATTTTCCGTGTATAGATGTAACGCCGTTTAGTATAGAACAACCATATCGAGTTCGCGAATTATCCAACCAATCCTCGCTCGTCTTACAGTGTGTGTCAGGGTTTTTGGAAACCCAGATTCCTCCACCGAATTCGACTGGTCCGCGCGACCTCGATGTCTCCATTCCGCGCCTGCTTCTTCCACACGCAAGTTCACTGGTGCAGAGCAGAACCGCCCGCCCCGCCACCACCCCACCAGCCCGCCACGCGCGGTTTTCCCCTCTCCCTGGGTTGAGTGCGTGCCAGCGCAGTGAGTTTGCGTGGTGCTGCTTGTTTCTGCTCGGTTCCGCTCGGCTCTGCTGTGGTAAGCTCTCGTGTCACAGCCTACATATTCACCTCGCCCAGCAAGATTCATCACAAGGATTCACCTGTTCGAGGGAAGGCTAGTGTGGTAGCAACTTGAGATTGCTTGAAGTACATTGTAGGTAGTAGTTTCGAGAAGGGATCACAACCGGGTTCTGCGGGGGAAGAAGACAGCGAGAAAGGTAGTACCCCCGCATTTTATTCATTCCCTCAGCCTTTTTTCCCCATCTTTGGTCCTACTGCGAGCTCACGCGTCAACGATTTTTTCAGAGGGTGATCGTCCATCGTCTTCCCGACGTAAGCATGTCGGATAATAACGCTGACGCAGCTTTTCCCAATAACCGCAACTCTCAGCCTCCAGAATCCATCACCACGAATTCCGATCGCCAAAGCGGAAGAGGCGGCGGACGAGGCGGCCGCCGCAGGGGCGGAGGTAGAGGCCGGGATCGAGATTTTCAAGATCGAATTTTTCGAGACCGGAATTTCCAGGACATTAATCTACAAGCTAATGGCCAGTTTTCGGAGGAGAATAGCGGCCGGGGAGGGTATGGCGGCCGGGGCAGAGGGAGAGGTCGCGGCCGAGGCTCAGACGATAATTCTGTTCGTGGAGGATATGACGGCAATCGCGGCGGCGGACGCGGCGGTGGTCGCGGTGGCGGTGGCGGCGGCGGTGGTGGCGGCGGTGGCGACGGATCTGCTTCACCTCTGGAGCTGTACAGCGGGTCTGCAGCTCGTCAGGCGCAAGACTTCGCCCAGCCTCGCCGCGGTTACTCCCAGCCTTACCGGCCGTTTCTGGTTCCTGCCGGGCAGTCTAATCAGCCGGCAGATCTGACCAGCCAGTTTCCTCAGCCGGCAAGTCAGCCGGGGTTGGATTCGCATTTTTTCAACAGTGGTGGTTTCCAGCAGCCAGGGTTGCACCTGGCCAACAGCCAGCCCCAACCACGGGCAGGTCCTGGAATTTTGGATCTGCCCGCGCTTCTTGCCCCGCCAAATGCTCGAGCACAGCAGGGGGGCGCTGGAGGAAGGGGAAGGGGTAGGGCTGGGGGGAGAGGAGGGAGGGAGGGGGGAAGGGGGAGAGGAGGGCGTGGAGACAGAGGGGAGGTAGAGCTTCCGTTGCAGTCACAGCAGCAGGTAACAGGGTTACCAGCATCAGCCCCAGTTTCGGGTTTACACCAGCCCTTTCGCCACCAGCAGCAGCAGCAGCAGCAGCAGCAGCATTTCAACCAACCGCCGCAGTGGTCACAGCAGCAGCCTTACCAACACCAGCCACGTCAGCAGCAGCGAAGGCCAATTCCAGGTTTTAGCGGCGCCAATCCAGACCAACGAAGTGCGAGAGGTACCAAGACGGGCGCCGCGGTCGGCGCCGCGGTCGGCGCCAGAAGAGACGGAGTGGAAGTGCCGCAGCTGCTACAGGAGATAGAGAACCGGCTGCGAAGCGGGCAGGTGGAGTGTATGATCTGCTACGACCCCGTGGGGCGATCCGCTGCCGTCTGGACGTGCCACAGCTGCTACAGCCTGTTTCACCTCCACTGCACGCGCAAGTGGGCCAAAGCGCCGTCGTCCGGCGCCGCGCCGGACCTCGCCGCGGCGAACGCGGGCGCGGGCGCGGGTGGCAACGCGAGTGCGACTCAAATCACAGCAGGAGCAGCAGGAGGAGCGGGAGGAGTAGCAGGAGGATCAGCAGCAGGATCAGGGGGAGCAGGAGGGTCAGGAAGCGAAGGAAGCGAGGGATGGAGGTGTCCCGGTTGTCAGGCTGTTCAGCTAACCCCTCCCTCTCACCTCCGTTACTTCTGCTTCTGTGGGCAACGGGAAGATCCCCCCTTCGATCCCTACCTGGTCCCCCATTCCTGTGGCGAAACCTGCCATAAGCCACTAGGGTTACCCGGTTCGTCCTGCCCCCATTCATGCACGCTGATTTGTCACCCGGGGCCCTGTCCGCCGTGCAGCGCTATGGCTAATACCGAGTCGTGCTTTTGTGGAGGACGGCGGTTCCAGAGGCGGTGTAGTGAGGCTGCTGCGAAGCCTGGGGGCGTGTCGTGTGGAGAGCGGTGTAATGCGGTGCTGAGGTGTGGCAGGCATGTGTGTGGGAGAGTGTGTCACGAGGGGGAGTGTGGGGAGTGTGAGGAGGTAGTGGTAGCGCAGTGTGTGTGTGGGAAGGAGGAGCAGCAGAGGCGGTGTTCTAGCCTGTTACCAAGTAACCCTCCTCTTGTCTCCGCTCCTACCCCTGCTGATACTCCTCCTCTTCCTACTCCTCCTGTCTCTTCCTCTGAAGAGAGCAACATCACTACCAGCATTGGCAGCACAACAGGCAGCAGCAGCAGCAGCGGGGTTTACCTTGTCAAAGATGCATTTTCCTGTGAATCTGTTTGTAACAAGCTGCTTCCGTGTGGTAACCACCGCTGCCAGAAGCGCTGCCACAGCAGCTGCAGCAACGCCAGCAGCAGCAACAGCACCAATGCCGATTCCTCATGTGGTGACTGTCAATTTTCACCCTCCGTCGTGCACACCTGCCCGTGCGGCAAGCAGCCAATCACAGCCCTTCTCCAGAAGCCCGGGCAGGCGAAAAAACTGCGCACCTCGTGCCTAGACCCCATACCCATGTGCGGTGACATGTGTGGCAAGCTACTGGCGTGTGGCCAGCACGTGTGTGGCAGTCTGTGCCACGTGGGCGAGTGCCCCCCCTGTGAGAAGCCAGTGGAGCAGCGGTGTGCGTGTGGGGAGTCTGTCAGAACAGTGCCGTGCTATAAAACGTTGATTACTCATGCCAGCAGCAACGCTGCTGGTAGTGCTGGTGGTGGCGTTAATGAGGGTGTTACAGGAGCGGAATTTGCTGCAGCTGCGACAGGAGCAGCCGAAGGAGCAGCAGTTGTAGGAGGAGCAGCAGGAGGTGTTGACTCGGAGCCCTTCCGTTGTAACCGCAAGTGTAATGCCAAGAAGAACTGCGGGCGGCACCGCTGCAACACCAGCTGCTGCCCGAAAAACCCTAAAAACAAAGCACCACCCGCTGCTGCTGCTTCTGACACAGACCCCCATCTCTGCATGCTAGTCTGTGGGAAGAAGCTTAGATGCGGCAAGCACCCATGCATGGAGCTTTGTCATTCCGGCCACTGCCCGCCTTGTCTAGAAGCTTCCTTTACAGAAGTTTCCTGTTCCTGCGGCTCTTCCTTTATCCCTCCGCCCGTCCCCTGCGGCACCTCCCCTCCCTCCTGCTCCCAGCCCTGCTCGAAAGCGAGAGATTGCGGGCACGATCCGGATCACCCCTGCCATTTCGGGGACTGTCCGCCGTGTTCCTCTGCGGTGGCGAAGGAGTGCGTGGGCGGTCACGTGGTGTTGAGAGGGGTGCCGTGCGGTAGTAAGGATATCCGGTGCAGTAATGTGTGTGGGAAGAGGCGACAGTGTGGGGTGCATGCTTGCTTAAAGCTTTGCCATGTGGGGCCATGTGATGACTTGGGACCTTCACTTACTGCTGCGGCTGATGCTGCTGCTGCTGGTGCTGCTTCTGTAACTGGTGGTGAGGATTCTTCAGAAGGTGCTGCGAGCAAAGTGGAGCAGGAACAGGAGCAGCAGCAGCAGCAGCAGCAGAAGCAGAAGCAGCGATTCACCGGCCCTCTCTCCTGTGGTCAGCCCTGTGGTGCTCCTAGAAGGGAATGCCAGCACACTTGCACATCCACCTGTCACATAGGCTCCCCCTGTCCCGAAACCCGCTGTACCACCCCTGCCACCATCACATGCGCCTGCGGCCGACTTTCTGCCCGAGTCCCCTGCGGGGCAGGCGGGAAAGATTCTGATTGGCTGACCGGGAATCTCATTCTGCCCGGGCTGCCAACTGCGCTGGTTCAGCCGGCGGATGCGGCGGGGGGTGGCGGCCGGGCAGCGAGAAAGTTTCCGCCCGGGCAATGCAAGCTGGCGTGCAACGAGGAGTGTGAGAAGATTCAGAGGAGGAAAGTTTTGGCTGAGGCATTCCATCCCTTGGCTGGAGCAGCAGAGGGGGGTATCAGCAGCAGCTCCGGCACCAGTAGCAGTATTTGGGACGGCCGAGACAGTGCCAGCAGCAGCAATGCTAGAAGCGGTATCAGCAGCGGCAGCGGCAGCAGCAGCAGTACCGGTGGTAGTAGTGTTGGTACCAGTGGGGAGCTGTCTCAGTCTGTAATGGAGATTATTCGAGCCGACCCCCGTTGGGCTGCTGACATAGAATCCCGCTTACAGTATCTAGTCCTAGGTCCCACCTCCAAAACCCCACCAGCAACAGCAGCAGCGGCCGCAGGAGGAGGAGGAGGAGCAGCAGCAGCCGCGGCTACTGGGTGGCCGAGGGACAGCGTTCGTCTGCATATCTTCAGGCCGATGGGGAGGGAGAGGCGGGAGGCGGTGCATCAGATGGCGGGTCGGTGGCGACTGGAAACCGTTTCAAAGGGAGCCGAACCGCACCGATTCACGCTCGTGTATACCACCTCCAAATCCCGCGCTCCTACCCGGAAGCTTCCTCTCCCGACCGGCACCAGCATCGGCACCAGCAGCAGCAGCAGCAGCAGCAGCAGCAGCGGCGGCGGCGGCGGCGGCGGCGGCGGCAGCATTGGGAGCAACCTAGTGCCGTTAGGCCCCGGGTATTCGCCTTCTCTCACTGCTCCTGCCCCGCCGTTCGACCCGGAAATCGACCTCAACCCGGCGCGTGTGGTGGCGCTGCTATCCCTTCCCAGAGACTCCAATGTGGCGACTCAGCTGGTGAGGTTCGGAGGGGAGTGTGAGCTCGTGTGGGTCGACGATCGGAATGCTGTGGCAGTGTTTGAGGACCCGGGACGAGCAGCAACGGCTATGCGGTTTCTGGATCATGTGAAACCGTTCTGGGGTGCTGTTGCTTGCGGGAGCGTGTATCAGCTGCAGCAGGGGCAGGGGCAGCAGAGACAGCAGGGGCAGCAGGCGCAGCAGCAGGGGCAGGAGCAGCAATGGCGGCAGCAGCAGGGGTCATGGGGTTTACCTGGGGCAGGTGGATCTGGGGGTATGGGTGCTGTTGGAGGTGGTTCGGCGGTTTGGGGCGGGAGAAGTTCGGCCGGGCCTGCTGGTGCAGGTGCTGGTAGGGGTTGGGGAGCAGGAGGGGTGGGAGTTGGGGGAGGTGGATCTGGGGCGGGTGGGACTGGGGGAGGCGCGTGGGGAAGAGGTGGGGGGGGTGCAGCTGTGATTAAAACGGGGGTTGGGCATGCATTGTTGGATGAGGCATGGGGGGGTGATGATGGTGGTGCTGGTGCGGTGGCTGCTGCTGGTGGAAACATGATTGCTGCTGATGCTGCACCTGCTACAATTGTTGCAGTACCAGCTGCTGCAGCAGCATCATCCCCCCCGGCTGCTCCTGTTTTAGCTCCTGCTGCGGCTGCTGCGGCTGCTGCCGTGGCTGCACCTGCTGCACTTCCTGCTGCGGTTGGTGGGATGGCAGAGGATGGGGCAGATGATGGTGAAGATGATTGGGAGAGGATGGCTGATTAGCAGCTGTCGGTCGGTTGTGTTAGGGATGGTACTGCTGCCAGTAATACGGTAGTTAGTTACGGTATGCTACACTTAGTTGCGGTTGGCTTGGGAGGAGAAAGCAGTCCGTTTCAGTAATTTGCAGGAAATATGTAGGCAGCGACTTGTGGGGAGCTGAGCATTCTGATACCGTAGTGTAGTGCCCTTCTGTATTGCATGAATGGAGGCCTAGGCTTCTGTGTGTATGTGGCTATGTGCTATGTGGAGTTATATTTGAAGTAAGTGATCCAAGGTTCTTGAATCTTGGTGAGCTGAACACTCTGGCAGCACCCTCCTGTACTGCATGACTGAAGGCCTCTGTGTGTACTTGGCTATCGGCTTTGTGGAGCTGTATTTGGTTGGAATTGGAAACAAGTAATTTAACGCTTCTGAAGTAATCGAAGTACCGTATCAACACGAAACGGAGCGGACTACAGCGAAACAACACACGAGCAGGGCCTCAGATTCACTTTTAGGGTCGTCGACCCATCAGGGTACCCTTGTGTAGAAACCCTGATTGACAGTGTTCCTAAAAAAAAAAGCCTGAAATATCAGTGTTGCCTTTGAAAAAAGGCTGATGCATCAGTGTTCAATAATATAAAAGGCTGTTATAATTAGAAATCTCTATTTTATGTACCAAGTCAGTAGCAGCCTTCCGAAACATTGCTAAGCTAACATGCCTCATGAATCATCACCAGCCATGCTATCATCACTGCCCTTAGCCTTTGGTTCTTCTCTCTCCTCCTCAGCTTGGGACACCAGTACGTGATAGTGCTTTTTGACACACACACCCCGGCTTCACTTCTGCTTGCGACACATACATGTTGAAGCTGCAGGGGCAGGGTTGGGGGGAGGAACCGGATTGACAGGCAGGGTGAGGCAGGGAAAGAGAGAAAAGGAGGGAGAGAGGAGGGAAGACTAGCACGGTTGGGGGGGAGACGACCGGGGGAGAGAGGGAGTGGACGGAGTGCGGGGTAAAGGGAGCGGGGGAATGGACGGCGGGCGCGCGGGTCATGCGCGGGTCATGCCGTCACGCAGCACGACGCTCTGCGCACCGCCCGCGGCGCAGATGGCCTTTCAACCGCGGTTCGTGCTGGCGACGAGGCAGCCTTCGGTCGTCGCCATTAGCACGAAAAACTACGCGTCGTCGAGTCGTAGCGGGCCTACGACACCGACGGGAATTGCCACGTGGCCGACGACCATCTCGCAGCATGCGCTGCGGATCGCGTCGAACGGGAGCGATGTGTTCGGCGAGACAAGAAGAGGTTCAGCGGCGCTCGCGATGGGTTCGATTCCCAACAGCCCGCCGTTTCTGGTGCTGATAGCGCCATGTATTAGTGCAGATGAGAAAGCACGAGACGAATCGGGCTGAGAGGGAGGGAGAGAGAAACAGGAGGAAAAGTAACACGAGAGATTGGATTGGAGGGAATGGGAGCATCAATGCTTGCCAGCACAGCCAACGGTGTAGGAACCCTCGCAGCCCTCAAGCACTACATGGTTGCCACATTCCGATTAGCCAACGCTTTATGGTGGAGCGAAACTGCCCAATGGAGTGCTGGCACCGCAGGAATCTAAGATTCCCTGTAATCGCGGGCAAATCCACACGGAACAAGTAAGAATTGGTTTCAGTGTTAGTTTCGTTACAACGTTGTGGAATCAGTGTACTTGGGAAAAAAGGTCTGAAATTTCAGTGTGGCCTAACAAAAAAGGTTGAAAGATCAGTCCCACAAAAATCTCAACACTGATTTTTCAGTGTAGGTAAAAAAAGGAATGCCAAAATCAGGAATTTCAGGGTTTTTTTTCCTGATATCTGAGGCCCTGCACGCGAGTCAACAACCGTAACAGCTGGAGGTTACGCGAAGGTCAAAGGTCGCTGACCTTTGACTCGACGAAAAATACAGTGCGACAGCAAGGACCCATAACTGACTCGATACTGAGCAGTTACCCGAGTCATCACTGTATCGAACCGCAACAGCAGAAACAGTTAAAGTAGAACCTTTCATATTCCTTTGTAATCATATAAAAGCTTTGTATCTCTCTGCTATTATCAACTTATCTTGTTCTCACATACCAGTGCAAGGTGTTTCAAGTAAATATTTATTAACGCTTCCGCAAACTACAACATTCCTACTACAAGAGATCTTAGCCTTGAAAAGATCCTAAGGGCTACTTCTCAGCCCAACATGGTATGAGAGCCTCCAAGGCAAGATCGATTTCCAAAACTCCTACGACAACACAAGACATGGCAACACAGAAGGAGAGAAGCTCCTCCAACAGATCTCTCGGCACTACTCCTACTCCACCTCCAACCTCTGGCCTACAGACAGAGGAAGGCACAGTAACAAGACCAGCTGCGGAGTCGACCGAAACTCCCGGGAATCAAGCAGCAGGCTTCGATCCAAACATGATGGAGAAATTCTTCTCCTTCATGTCCTTCTACGAGCAACACCAGCAAGTAGCTCCTGCGCAATCAAACAACAGCGACAACAACAACAGAGCTACTCCGATGAGCCTCGACGGTTCATCCTATGCGCGCGGAAATCAGTAGCAACCTACCTTTGCTCTGTACGAACCTCCAACGTGGCTCCATCAGCTTCGCGCCACACCAACAGTCTTCACCTGGACAAGAGAAGACATTGGACGCGCTTCAGGTGCAATCGCAATTCGCACATGTTTTAAAACTGCAGACATCAACACTCTTCGACGGAAAAGACTTCTATACCTGGTCATTCGAGTTCGAGCTGATGATGGAAGGCGCGCAAATACTTGGATTCTTCGACGGATCTCTGCCATACCCAACGCATGGGACACAATATGACAAGCAGCAATATGCATATCAGTCGCTGATGGCGTACACGATACTTCTTCGAAACATAATGCCAAACAAGCAGCAGAACATTCGGTCTTATCGAGGATACGGCAACTCCGCCGAGCTGGCGTACGACCATCTGAAGAACCTGTATCAAGCAACAGACAGTGTTAACCAAAGTCATCTCATAGCACAGCTGACAACAGTGAAAATGAAACCCGACAAAAAGGGAATTGCGTATATCAACCGTTGTTGTGGACTGCGCGACAGACTCCTTCGACGCGGAGGATCGATATCCGAAGAAGCCTTCGTAACAGACATCATCGCTGGCCTCGGTCCTCATTGGGGCTCCACTCGAGCACTCCTCCGAGCTCACGGGAAAATCTCCAAAGCAACACTCTGCGCCGAAATTCACACTGAACAGCAGGATATGGACCTGCACGAAGAACGACACAAGAAAAGGGCGTCAGCACCAGAGTTTCACACTTCATACTCAAAGGCGCTACAACAACAACAACAATCGACAAAAAAAACGGACAAGTTCAACAGTACGTCCCACCGTTCTGTCACCTCTGCAAGACGTCCGGACATCCGCGCACACACTGCCCGAATCAGCAGCAGTCGACGTCGCCACAACGTCAACTTCGGCCCTCAAGCAGTCAAGTAGCTTCTACGCAGGCGTATCCCACCAATCAAGTACAGTCTTCAACGTCATCAACGACAAAACCTGCGCAAGGCACAAGAAACATCGTAAGCTGTATGATAAGAACGACAGACTCCTGCATCACCGGATCACCACCATTCTACTCACCAGAAGAACAACTCGACGAGCGCACTCCTCGCCGCGAATCACTGGAGCCCAACCCGACGTATGCAGCCATCGCTCAGAGCGAGCCGTCCGGGAAAGACACTTGGTTCTTGGACAGTTGCTGCGGACAGCACATGTGCTCCTCGGGTCGCTTCGTTCAACAGGAACATCAACTTCAGCGCGAAGTTGTAATCACCGTCGCCAACAACCAGAACCTGCGCACACGACGACAAGGGATCGTGCAACTTCAGTCTCGAGAAGCTAACGTTATTCTACAAATGTCAAAGGTTCTAATTGCAGAAGGACTCGGCTACAACTTACTCAGCGTCAGTCAATTAATGGCGAAGGGCATTCATCTCGAAGCAGACAGCACCACTCAGGAGTTCAAGTTATTCCACGGAAAAGGCGGACTCTACATTGGCAAGGCAGTCTTGAAGAATAACGTCTTCGTTCTTGATTTTTTTCCGGACCAAGGAACCGCCGATAGCGACGCCATCGTCAACTTCACTTCTTGGACACATCCACCCGATCTCGGCCCCGACTTCAGTCCTGGAGGATTTTGGTATTCACATACCATATCTGAAGCTGAAAGAACAAGGGCATTAGCAACAATCCAGCAAGAAGAAACAATATCGACAGCAGTAGAAACAACATCGGCAGCATCAGCAACACCTACGGCACCAATCGCGGACTCTTCGACGGCACCAGTTCTCATCGACGACACTTCACCGACTCTTGCACAGCAGTTAACTCCCACTCCACGCGAAGTTCACAGAAGCGCCAACCTCACCGCGGGATTTTACTCCAACTCCAACCTGTACAGGCGCTCACGAGGACATCGTGCAAGCAAATCACTGTGGCACGAAAGATTGGGACATCCAAGCAACACAACGTTAAACAACACGAGCAAGGCGACAGTACTCGACAAAGACTCCTTACTTCTACCCGACGGCAGAGAACTTCAACGAGTCCGAGGAACCTGTTTTACTTGCCCCGAAGCCGACTTACCTCATAAACCGTTTGTCTCTCACCACAATCCAAGCGCCCCAGCTTACGCACCACT